CCTGCAGTGCCCGCTGCTCCCGACTGAGCTGACTGGAATCCGCGTACAGTTCCGTAGTGACGCACTTGAATCGGTCGCCCACGTAACCGGCCGAGTTCGCGATCCTCTTTGCCAGTTTCGATGGCTTCGGTTTGAGAACTTTGCCATCACCGGATTCTGCCTCCTCGGCTCCGTCTTTGGTATAGGCGGGGGTGACGTCCACACTCGGCGGGGCACCGCCCACACAAAATGGTTTGGGATCCTCTTGGGTTTTCGCAAAAGAGACGGCAGGACCATCGCTCCCCAGAGTGGTGTCCAGGAATGGCGTCGAGACCGGCATCACCAGGTTCTCTTTGTTGGTACCTGCCGGTACACTGTCCTTGTTGAGGTTGAAGACCGACTGGCCTGGAGCCTGTTTGAAAGCATAAGGTTCGTGGAAATCACCGATGCGCCCCAACTCCTCTCTCAGGGCGAGGAAATCGCGATGTTGCTGCAGGGCCGGGTCGGCCGGGGGCTTGGCGGGTTCCGCACCCTGGCCGGCGCTCTCGGCGGCAAAGCCCGGCTTGCACATAGTGGGGTCAGGCTTGGCGTCTGGTTCTTCTCGGAGCAGGTCTACGTAGACGAGCTTGTCGCTTTTGCCCACCATTTTCCCTTGATTCCAGCTGGGGCTTGGCTTCAGGTTCTTGTCAGCGGGGACATCCGGGTGTAACTTGGTGCTGCTGGCTTCCAACATCTCGGAGAACCGATTCCGGAGGGTGGGATCCTCGTAGCGGGGTTTCTCGTGCGACCGGGACCTCCGCTCCGGTTTCTCCTCCTTAGCGATTTCTATGGGCGTGTGTGGTATCAACATAGGATGCACCATGCCCAAACCCAGGGCGTCTTGGTAGGTCACAAACTCTGGACGGCCCGTGGGCAGCCCGTAGGGCAGTCCAGGCTTTGGGGCAAGGTGCCCAGGAAAGAGACTGCCGTTGGGTAACAAAACGGGGTGAGGGTAGACAGGTCCTTTGCCATGTAAAGAGAGGGGGCTTATAGCAATGCCCTCAGGTGCCGGGTAAGGGAGGTAACTCCTGGGATAGGGAATCGGTGGGGACCTGAATGCCTCATTTGGAGAGAGAAATATCGAGCTGGGCGGAAGGCCATTCTCGTTGGCTTTGAAACTCGGTTCGGGGTTGCTGGCTTTGGCGCCCTTGCCGCCGCCGCCGCCGCCGCCGGTGCTGCTGCCAGGCGTGGTCGGGGGCTGGCCCACGTGCTGAATGACAGACGGCGTGGTGTCCACGGAGCTCCTGCTGGGCTTAGTGCCGTCTGCGTTGGCATTAGGAGCTGGTGACGCCGAAGCTGGGCGCCCGGCACTCGACACCGACCCCGAGACATTAGCGATCACGGCGTCTGGGCCACCCATGCGAGGACACGACGAGCTCCGCTGCTGTGGGATTGCCCAGTCCAGAGCCTTGTTTTTCAGCGACATGCTTTTGCCATTGTTCTCTTCGTTAGGACTTGGCCCGGGCACCACCCAGGATGAGGGAGCGGTGCTAATGATTTCAGATCTATAGATAGCACAGCCATTTCCTGGAGGAGATAATGTTTCTTTCGGAATCTCACTTCCAGAGAGCACTAAGCCACTTCCAGCCCTGCTGTGAACCAGGACCGTGGGAGCCATCTTTTTCATATGATCAGCTTTGGAAGCATCCACATCCACCACTTTTGAAGACAAGTCTAGCGGCTTGTCGGTGACGTCTTTGGTAACCGTCTGCTTCTCCAACAGAGGAGGGGAGGCGACATCTTTTCTGTCTTGAACCGCTGTCTTCCGGGCATGCCCGGGCACTGGCTGGGCACTTTCGGCCCCTTCTGGAGTCTTGGGATACTTGCCGTTGGAGAGCCTGGCCGCAGGGAACTCGCTGCTGACCGTCATGTATGGCTTTGACAGGGTGACCGAAGGAGAGGTGGAGATCCGGGCATAGTGCTTGTGGAACTCCGAGTAGGTGTCTGCAGCAGGTTGGGTGGGCAGGTGGACCCGCGGTGAGGGCCGAGGCGAGGGGGGCAACAGGAGAGCTGTGTCCCCCGGCAGGCCACTGGTGACCGCCTTGGCAGAGGGCACTCGAGGTTGTTTACTGTTCTGGATGTGGGGGTAGGCGTGGGACTCGACGGGGTTCCCAGGGCTGACGCCCATCTTCCACGGGAGGCTTTTGTCTGCGCAGTGGACGAGGGGTGGAATGGCCGGGGAGGCCGAGGGCGTCGAGAGCCTCATGGGCGAAGCCAAGGACGATGGGATGTGCGGACTGACGTAGTGAGGTGGCGGCAGGTAGAGGAAGCGCTCCCCGTTGGTGCAGACTGGTGAATACAGCGGCTGGGCCAAGCTGTACGACTGCTGAGGTAGCAAGGCCTTGTACATGTTCAGTGAATACTTATTTGGCGACTCGAGGAAAGGGTAGAGGGCTGGCGAGGCCCCCTCCATGTAAGGATTGACCCAGGGCAGCCGCAGGTAGCTAGCACCATTGATGTTGAGAGGGCTCTGTTTGTCGCTGGCAGGCCTGTCCAAGCCCAGTGTTTCTGCTGGGGCTACAGCACTTTTTTGTATTCCAGGCGGTGTTTTGTAGATAGCACTGAAGCCATTTGGGGCTTTTCTAGAGAAAGCAGAAGCCTCCACTGTCTCCGGCGTATTCGGTTTAAACTGCATCTCCGGATTTCGCTCTGAAGAGAACCCAAGGCCACCTAGGGTGCTCGCGGCAGCCTCCCGGCCTTTCTCTGAGCCCAGTCCACACAAACTAGAGTAGACGATGTTCCCGGGGACCCGGAGCCCTTCCCGGATCAGGCCCGTGCGGTCCATGCTCAGTGCTGCCAGGCCATCGATCCGATGGGCCGTACTTGCATCCACCTTGGCGGGGGAACACAGGTGTTACTTGGGACAGTCCTTGGAAGCCGCCAACTAGGCCCCCAA